GGAAAGGGTGACCTCTGATGGCTAGCAGACGGAAGTTCATGGACCGGATTCGTGACACCGGTTCCTCAAGTCCACTAGTCCCAATGCCCTTAATGATTTTAGACCAGTTGCTCTTACATCAATTTTAATTAAAACCCTTGAAAAACTGGTAAGGGAAGAAATTGGAAGGAAAACTGAACATACACTTGACCCTGTGCAATTTGCTTATAGGCCACATAGAGGAGTAGAGGACGCTACAGTTACGTTGTTGAACTTACTTGCTAAACACTTGGAGGGTAATGGGTCTCATGCTAGACTTTTATTCATTGATTTTTCATCTGCTTTTAACACAATCCAACCCCATGTTCTAATTAATAGGCTTTTAGAACAGTTTACATTGAGTAACAATATTGTGGGCTGGATTCTTGATTTTTTAACTAATAGGACACAGAGAGTAAGGGTGAATGGAACCCTGTCTGACGAAGTTTGTTCCTCTACGGGCTCCCCACAAGGATGTGTGCTTTCACCTCTATTATTTATTCTCTACACAAATATGTGTCAGAGTAAGTGGGAAAACAGGACTATTTTAAAGTATGCAGATGACACTGTTATTGTTAGTGAGCTTCAGGGCAATGAGACCAGCCATGGCCCGATTATTGATGACTTTATAAAGTGGTGTGAGGAGTCCTACCTCCAATTAAACTTATCTAAGACAAAAGATATGATTATTGATTTTAGGAAACAAGCCCACCCACATGAAGTTACATCTATTAAAAGTCAGAAAATAGAATCTGTGCAATCTTACAAATACCTTGGGACTATTATTGACTCTAAGTTGAACTTTGAAGCAAATTGTGAAGCAGTGTGTAAAAAGGGGCACCAGCGTCTGTTTTGTTTAAGGAAATTGGCCCATTTTCACATTGACAGGACCATGATGATGTTATTTTATCGTGCTTTTATTGAATCACTCTTAACATTTTCTCTGGTGTCTTGGTTTGGAAACTTGTCTGTAAAGAACAAGAATTCACTGAGTCAAATTGTTAGATGGTCTAGTAAGCTGATTGGGGAGTCACAGCTTAGTCCAGCATCCCTGTATACCAGACAGTTACAGCGGATGACTAACTCAATTTTAAATGATGACTCTCATCCTTTGAAGAATGAATTTAAACTTCTGCCATCTAGACGTAGATTTGTATTTCCGTATTGTAGAACTAAGCGGTATAAAAACAGCTTTGTGCCAGCAGGTATCACTCAGTTGAATAAGGATAGGTCTTAGGAACATTATTATTATTATTATTTTATTTTATTTGTGGTAATTTATTGTTTTTAGTCTAGGCGGTTTTTTAGTGATGCTGGGAACCTTAAAGCACTTTTATCATATATGTTGGTTAATGTTTGTGGTGTCTGTAAAATGTGAAAGATGTGAGAACTCATAACACTGCAAACCTAGTCTACCTATGTATATGTGAAGATTTTTCTTGTGTAGTGTTTTTATATCTTTGCAAGTGAATTCTTTGTGTCTGTGTTTTTGGATGCAATGTATCTGTTTAAAAAATAAATGCTGAGAGATTCAATGTTGTAGTTGTTGATTTCATAAAAAATCTGGTTCCAGATAGATATCCAGAACTTTTTGTCAAAGCAATAAAGTCCAGTAAACTCAAATAGTTAAGTTATGATGTTGAGGAAAAATTACTATTTTATGTCAGTTAGACTTGGTTCATGGTTGTGAAAACATGAAAAATTAAGTTCAACCAATGTTTTTCAGTTGACTTAACTAAAAATTTTAAATGCTCATTAATTGATACAGTGCGTTGGCTCAATTTACTGCAAGTTATTTCAACAACTACGTATAAGTTGAGTGAACTTAACACCTAATGTTTGCTAAACTTAACTGAGTCAATGCAACAAGATGACTTGACTAAGTCAAGTTGTGTCAACAAATCATTTTTTACAGTGTGGGTACAAATAAAGTGAACCTGAACCTGATAACCAAATAAAACATCTTTGTATAACAAAGAGAAACTCTGTGAAGAAAAAGCATGTACAAAGATACAGAAATCCTTCCAAAATAAAATTGTAGTCTATATCTGCATTCCCAAAAGAGATGAGATGAGAAGATTCGTCTCAGAAGAACAAAAAAAAGTCAATATATGGAAACATTTCTAAATAGATATTAACAGGTAAAAAAATATTAAGTAATTTATAAGAAACATCATTTACCCTATTAAATATTTAGATGACAAAGTCACACTTTTCTTCCATGGAATGTTATCAAACTGGCCATTCCAGGAGGACACAATGTATGGATCTCAGCCTGGAATAGTTAATTCATCTGTTCCGACAGGAAGAGGTATATATATATATATATATATATGCCCAATCGTTGAATGAAAAAGATGAGTTGTTGACAAAGAAAATTGGCATCTAACTAAGTCTTTAAGAAGAGTTATTGCCCCACAGGGAATAGCGTTTATTATAATGACGAAAATCCAGTGACAGGTAGGCTAATACATCTTCAAAAAAATCTTAATAGGAATGTATGTAACCATCAGAATTTATTAAATGAGAAACCAGAATAACATTATTAATGACTCAATCTGGGAAAAACAAAGATTTATTTTTTTATAAAGAATATCACCATTATTACAAATGAAATAGCCGTGAGGACTAAAATTGTTTATAAAGAAATAGCCGTGAGGACTAAAATTGTTTATAAATTAGGTGCCACGGGCAAAAGCTCTTCTTTATGAAAATTTGATCATTTAAGAGGCATTTTATGATATTGTATGATATTGTAATTACAATGACATTGTAGAACCCTAGAGAAAACAAGATTGGTAAGAATATTCCAAAATGAATCAGGGTTTGTTAAGTACTGCTTTAACCAATTTATCTTAAAAGTATAATAGAAAAGCCGAAGAATGAAGGGTTAATTTGAGCCCTGGAGTGACGTCACGATGTATCACATGTTTACGCCGCCAGATCCAGTGTGTGTGTGTGTGTGTGTGTGTGTGTGTGTGTGTGTGTGTCGCAGCCCTGTATGGAAAATGGAGACGCTACACCAGCACTGCACGAGCTAAAGATCAATTAGGCCTAGCTAATACTCATGTGATTTTTAAGACCAGACAAACTGGTATTAATAGCACCCAGGTTGAAACGCACACGGACACCGGCCAAGGCAACCATGGAAATCTTTGGGAATTCAGAGCGCTTTACGGTTTTTCCACCTCTGGAATTGGGAAATGACAACACGTCTCCGATACTTTATATGCAACTGTTTCATCTGTTTTAGGATCGCCGGCTTTCAACGAACATGATTTTATGGGCTCGTAGTTTTAGGTCGTAAGAAATGAGCGCAAACTGATCTGAGACACAAAACGATTAGTCAGCTAAGTTAGTTTCGTTGTGTATTTTAGTTGCTCTTGATTTTAATCTTAAAATTGTGGATTTTAGAAGTCTTAATAGATATGGGATTTTTTATACATAATTTATAACGTAGATGATATAATTTTATTATAACTTTTTTTTTTTTTTTTTTTTTGCAACGAGACAAACAACTTTAACTGTAAAAATGAGATCTCTGGCCCCGGGAATCAAACTCATTACTTCTTTCTCTAGAGACAGCTGGTGAGTAACAGGCCCATGTAAACACAACAGACATACAGATAACATGCTCTGTGATGTTAAATGTGTGTCCCATCATGTGGGATTTTATTGTAACAGACATGATTATTGTTTTTCGATTAGGCTATTGAATTTTAGCGCTGCTTAAGAGTTCCTCATTAATCTATAAAATATAATGTTTTTAGTAGTGCTAATATACATTTCACCTTGTAGAATACAGGCAAATTTTACAAATTTACTACTCTGGAAATTGAACCACAGTTTGTATGTGCACAACTTCATTTATTAAGAATCTTAAATCACAATTTAAACATAATTTATGAATATATGCGTACCTCATGAATGGAAAATAAGTACTTAAGTTAAAGTACAGTACTGTGACCTAAATGTTAGAGGTTTCTGTTTTGCAGCATGCATCGCCCTCAGAACTGATGTACACTGTGTTAAGCGTGCTTCCCCCACAGGAAATGTATAAAAACGTATAGATAGATAATTCAGTGTGTGTGTTTGCCTTAGGTGAGGCTGTTTTCCTGTAAGTCACATAGTGTGGTTTCATTTCTTTCACTGCCTGGCTGTTTTATTTAATACTACAGACACCTCCAGATTTCATTTTAACCACTGTTGATGCTTTTTGACTTGTAAATCTTTTATTTCAAGAACTTATTCCTTTTGATTAGGTACCGGTTCTTCATCCTCCTCCTTACGTTTGTCTTCTACACCACCTACCACCTCTCTCGAAAGCCTATCAGTATTGTCAAGGTAATAAAAAGTCAGAGACCTGGCAACTAAACATTAACTAGCTGCATGATAGGCCTAACCTGAAAAGAAGACATGCAACAAACAGGATTTTGTTATACTGATAAATCACATGGTTGTGTTTGCATGTAATAAATTAAGAGTAAAATGTGTTAAATGATAATTTTATGTTGTGACAGAGTCAGCTGCACAGAAACTGCTCTAATGTTATTCATCCAGCAGACCTCAACATCACTGACAATGACACCTGGTGTGATTGGGCTCCTTTTGGTGAGTTTGATTCTTTGCTTAAAATAGTTTGTGTTCTTGCTTATATCATATCTGTCCTACACTTAATCTCTCCATAAACTGCCATTCAAAAGTTTGGGGTCAGTGAGATTATTATTATTTTTTTCAAAGTCTCTTATATTTAATTGAGCAAAAAATACAGTAAAAACTTAAATGGTGACACATTAATGCAATTTAAAATATCTGTTTTCTATTGTAATATATTTTAAAATGTAATTTATTCCTGTGATGGCAAAGCTGAATTTTCAGGAGCCAGTCTTTAGTGTCACATGATCCTTCAAAAATCATTCTAATATACTGATTTGGTGCTCAAGAAACATTTCTTCTTATTATCAATGTTGAAAACAATTGTACTGCTTAATATTTTTGTGGAAACTGTGCACATATTTTTTTTCGGATTCTTTGATGAATAAAAAGTTCAAAAGAACAGAATTTATTTGAAATCGAAATCTTTTGTTGGATGTTGTTACTTTCAGTTTTGACCAGTTAATGTGCCCTTGCTGATAGAAAAAAAAACGTACTGTTTACTAGTTTATATTAACCCATCAATGTATTTCTTTGTTTAAATTCAGACCAGAACAATTACCGGAACCTGTTTGGAGTCTTGGACAACTGCTTCCTTGTTGCATATGCTATCGGCATGTTCTTTAGGTATGATATTGGGTTTTCTTGGTTAGATTTTCTTGGTTAGTGTGTTTAGCTTGAGGTATAACAGCTGGTTTTGAAATATTTTTGACAGTGGGATATTTGGAGAGCGTTTGCCCCTGCGTTACTACCTGAGCTCAGGGATGATTCTCAGTGGCATTTTCACTGCTCTGTTTGGCCTGGGCTTTTACTGGCAAATCCACTCTTTGTGGTATTATTGCTTAGTTCAGGTAAGCTAGTTCTCCTTTCTAAATTTAAAGGGGTCATGTGATGCGATTTCAAGTTTTCCTTTCTCTTTGGAGTGTTACAAGCGCTTGGTGCATAAAGAAGATCTGTAAAGTTGCAAAGACTAAAGTCTCAAATCCAAAGAGATATTCTTTATAAAAGTTAAGAGTCAGCCACGCCTACCTAAAACGGCTCGTTCTAACACGCCCCCACATGTCTATGTCACTATGTGGAAATATTAGCATAATGCCGCCCAAATGTGCATGCAAAGAAAGAAGGCGTGGTTTCAGGAACACCAGTAGTGGTGATGCAGCCATGTCAGGGAGACGGTGTGTGTTTCAGTGCGAAAGCAAAAGCACTTTATTTGGCCTTCCGGAAGTAGATGCAATTAGGAATCATTAGTTAAGATTTATTTACAACAGAACAGCACAACCCAGATGTTCGAATTTGTGTAACGCATTTTATGGACTACAGTTTTTTGAACCTAGAAGAGTACAAGGCTGGATGTGCAAAAAGGCTATTTCTAAAAAAAAAAAAAGCTTCTGAATCAGCGACTGTAATTATGTTTTGTTATTAGTTTAAGTATTTGCTATTGACTGTTCAAATGCAGAGTTTTGCGCAGCGCAGAGTAACGCATCGTGTGTGTGTGTGTGTGAGGGGAACAGGGTCACATCACAGGAGACTGAACAGCCTGTCAGAAATCATAGCACGTCAGCTGTCTTAACCGCGGCTTGTGTACTGCATCATCACTGTGTCTGTCACGCGACTCTGTTGCCCTTTCGGGCTTGAACTGATGGTAAAACTAACGACATTATTAACTGTCTTGATATTTACTTTGAAAGCTGAAGCGATTATGGTAAGGGGCGTTACATTTCCGACGCATGCTTGTGGTGTTCGGCCAATCACAATGCACTGGGTCAGCTGGCCAATCAGAGCAGACTGCGCTTGTCAAAAGAGGGGGCTTTGTTGAAAACGACGTGTTTGAGAGAGGCGGGGCATAGAGGACCTACAATAATGTACAGTATTTGAAAAATAATGTGTTTTTTTAACTTTAAAGCATGTCAACATATTCTGTTACACCAAATACACAAAATAATGATCTTTAAAATAGCATCATATGACCCCTTTAAGCCAATGTATCTCCAAAGGTGTATCAGTCCATCAAAGTACCAGAGCGAGCACCAGAATTTTACAATATGAAACCAAAAAAACAGAAGTGATTCTTTTCCAATGACACATTTCTTGTCACAAGGGAGTTTTAAAAAATTAAATCAAAAGTATGTTTGAATATTATCAAATAAAAACCTTATCAGTACGTGGTTGACGTGTACATCATCTTTTCTTAGCCCATTGTATTCCAGTCTTACAGCCCCAGAGTTATTTCATAGTAAATCTTTAGTCATGCTAGTATATGAGTCACATGCATAACACATGACCGAATCAGGCGTTTGCTTCTTGAACATGTCAAACCCATGTGCTCTTCAGACTTGCTGATTCCTATGTTTTTTTTTCTTTTACAGGCCTTAAATGGGCTGGTACAGACTACAGGCTGGCCGGCAGTGGTAGCGTGTGTTGGGAACTGGTTTGGGAAGGGAAAGTAGGTGACTGTTGTGTTATTTGCTGCTTCTCAGTTTGTGTGCTGTTGACAGTGCAGAATTGTATCTGCACTTTTTTTCACAAAAACAACTAAGTGCGGATCTAAATGATCTCTCTTGCTTCCACACTCCCAAACTGTTAATACTTGTCTACTGTGAACTGTTATTTTAAATGAAACCACAATTGTAACGCATTTTACTACAGCAATATGACAAATTTCAGAGTGAAAAAGGATATTTCACAAGAAAAATCGTGGCAATTCTTGATTTTTTTTATCCATCAGGAATTGTTTGGATGATGAAAACATGGTATTTAATTTTGGAACTAAGCCAGATGTGAACTGTAGTTAACAAAACGATTCATAAATCACTATTTATAAACAGTTTATTAACGTTATCCAATAGCCTGCATGGCCTAAGTGATGTCAAAGGAAGGCAGGGCAAGGTATTAAACTTGATTTTAAACAACTTCATTGTTGAATTGTGCACATTAAGATGTACACTATCGTTCAAAAGTTTGGGATCAGTAATTGATCAGAAATGACAGTACAGTAATGTATGATGTTACAAAAGATGTCTATTTCAAACAATGCTATTAAACTTCATAATCATCCAATAATCTCTTAAAATTCAAATTAGTTTCCAAAATTATATAAAGCAGCACAACTGTTGTTGAGGTCAATAATTGTAAGAAGAAATGTTTCATCATAACTTCTGAAGACACATGTGACACTGAAGACTGGAATAATACCTGCAGGAAATTAAGATTTGTCTTCACAGGAGTAAATTACACTTTAAGATATATTAAAATAGAACAGTTCTTTTTAATTTTAAGAATAGTTTACGATATTACTGTTTTTACTTTATCTCTGATCACATGAATGCAACCTTTGAGAGTATAAAAGACTTAGAAAAAGATATTTAAAAAAAAAAAATACACAGACATGGAATGGTAGTGTATTAATAAGCTGATTTCATGTTGACTTCAATCTGTGGCTCAGTGGTAGAGGATTGTGTTAGCAGTGCAAAAGGTCGTGGGTTCGATTCCCAGGGAACACACATACTGGTAAAAAAAAATGTATAGCCTGATTGCACTGTAAGTCGCTTTGGATAAAAGCGTCTGCTAAATGCATAAATGATTATTATTAAATTATTAAAAATTCCAAAATTGCTCTCTGACGCAGGCGTGGATTAATCATGGGCGTCTGGAATTCTCACACCTCAGTAGGAAACATTCTGGGCTCCCTCATTGCTGGGGTCTATGTGTCGTCCGCGTGGGGCCTGTCATTCATTGTGCCTGGTATCATCATCGCTGTTGCTGGAGTCATCTGTTTTTTGTTCCTGGTTGAAAGTAAGTCACACCTTAGATTGGAGGGAAATGTGCTATTATATGCCTGCGGGCTGTTTACAAAGACAGGAACAGAAGGGAAACAAAAACAAAGATTGTGCAACTAAATTACATGAGCAGAAATTTTCCATTACTTCAACTTAGAGATGGGCGTGTGTTTTTTTTTTTTTTATTGTAACCACTTCTGATAGTTACTATTTTATGATAGAAATTAAATAAAGATGACACAAACACAATACTAACTATCTGCAGATATAAAAGATATGTTCAACAAACTGAAGATTAATTTTGTGGAAGAAAAAAAAGTGCTACCTAAATCACAACGTTGTTTTTTTTTGTTTTTTTACAGAACCTGAAGATGTGAACTGTACTCCACCACAACACCATGTGAGTTCACTTACAATTAAAAAACTATGTAAAATATGTTGACTCCATGACCTACATATGTTACAATACCATTATTTCACTTGAATAAACAGCAGTGCTCCCGTCCCATTTGTGTTTTGTTTCTGTGATTATCCGAAGTTGCATTATTTACAAATTGATTATGTGAAAAGGCTGGTTAACACTCATTTACTGCCATTTGGTTACAATCGATAACATTTTTTGCCAAACTGAAAGCAATATTAAATATTTGCAGTACATTTGGCCTCTTTTTTGCAGCAAGAGAATTGAGCAAATGAATGTAACGTTGTCATGCTGCTGTGCGCCTGTAGTTCACAACACTGTAGTGAATCTGGTTGAGAAATGACCTGAGAATTGAAAGCAGAAGTAATTGTGAACATAGAGAAATCACATGTAACAATCTGCACGAGTTTACAAGCTTGAGAAGAGCTATGATAAAGCTGTCTGTTGAAATCTTTTGATCTGTGTGATTAACTATGTTGGTCTCAATGATTAAAGGCTGGATAACTTCAAATCTGAACAGATTTTAAACTCTAGGCATCATACACTTGCTGACATAGGAAAAACTAAATGAGTGAGGATCGTAAACTGAGAGACTGTCAAATACGACAAATTTACACAGAAATATGCAAATTGTTGACACTGCCACTCTATTCTGTTTCTATTCTGTCTACTTGTTTTCTTTTTATTCATTAAAAAATGACCCTCAAAACAGCATCTCTAAAGCGTCTGCTAAATGATTAAATGTAATGTAAATGTTGATAGGAGACACATGACCAGTAAAAACAGTCTTTGTTCTAAAATCAGATCAAAATATCAGATATGTATGATATCCTCTGACTGAAGCTAAAAAAAACTGATTCTGGGCCCACACTGTGATTTTCTGTGAAACTCTGATTGCCCAAAATCTGCAGGCTGACTCCTCCAGACTGAAAATTGGGGCAAAAATATATGCAAATGTCATGTAGTGTATTCCACCCTTAAGTATGTACTTAAAATACTGTCACTTAATGTTCTTCCTTTAACAAACACTTTTTATCTTCATTGATATAACACTAACAGTCTGTAATGTGTTTAGGAGAGTGTGGAGCAGGAGCCTCTACTGAGGAACTCGTCCAGTAATGAGGAGATCTTCAGCGCTAACACCTCCACAGCCGTGGAGACTGTGGAGGATCACACCGAAGCCATCAGCTTCTGCGGAGCGCTCAGGATTCCTGTGAGTGACCTGTTCTTCTCAGTTTTACACCCACAGCTGTTAGTCAGCGAATGTAAGGTGTTGTTTTGAAGAGACTGAGAGAGGAGCCAATCCTGTGAAGTGTCTGGTGTGCTTGGATCAGAAATAATGCTTTTGCTTTCTCAACCTAAATATAATTTTTTCTTAAAATAATAAAATGTTTAAGATTAAATCTGTTCTTAAAAGATTAAAGGGTTAGTTCACCCAAAAATGAAAATTCTGTCATTAATTACTCACCCTCGTGTTGTTCCAAACCCGTAAGACCTTCGTTCATCTTCGGAACACAATTTAAGATATTTTTGATTAAATCTGAGGGCTCTCTCTCCCTCCCATAGACAGCAAGGTAACTACCACGATCAAGGTCTAGAAAAGTACCAAGATGATCGACAAAGTAGTCCGTGTGACATCAGTGGTTCAACTGTAAAGTTACGAAGCTACGAGAACACTTGTGGACGCGCGTTCATGACAGTACCATGATGCGAGCGTGTGGCGGTGCCGGCGCTGACCCAGATCCGGCGTGATGACGTCATTACGCCGGATTTGGGTCAGCGCCGCCACACGCTCGCGTTATGATCAAGCGTTTGTAACTTTACAGTTGAACCACTGATGTCACACGGACTACTTTGTCGATCATCTTGGTACTTTTCTGGACCTTGAACGTGGTAGTTACCTTGCTGTCTATGGGAGGGTCAGAGAGCCCTCAGATTTCATCAAAAATATCTTAAATTGTGTTCCGAAGATGAACGGAGTTCTTACGGGTTTGGAACAACACGAGGGTGAGTAATTAATATCAGAATTTTCTTTTTTGGGTGAACTAACCCTTTAAGTCTTATCTAATGGTCTTTAAACAATACTCTGTTTGGGTCATTTGTCAGACAATTTTTGGATTTACATTTATTTATTTAGCAGTTGCTTCTTTATGCGAAGTAGCTAACACGAGGAATGCTACAAAATAAGCAATTCATCCTAATGAGTAATGTTAGAAATTAGGCAATATGATGTTGCAAATTTGGTCACAAGTGTACAAGTTGATAGAGAACAGTATCATTTACATTCAGTTGTTGCTAGGCATGTCCTGATATTGTCTTTTTTTTTTTTTGTGCTCCTGATTCAATCCAAGTCATTGAATATTGAGTATCTGCCGATCCCGAGTAATCCCCTAGCTGGTGGACAGGAGTAAATACCATCCTGTCATTTTTGCTCATCGTGTTGTTTTCTTCCTGCAGGGTGTGGTGGAGTTCTCCTTATGTTTGCTTTTTGCCAAGCTGGTCAGCTACACCTTTCTCTACTGGCTTCCTTTATACATCGCTAATGTTGGTAAGAATCCTTCATCAGATTCTCTCATATTTACTCAGTTCTTAGGCACAAATGAACTGTCAAAAAAGTCACTGAGGCTGCTCTCTCTTAGCTCATTTTGATCCTAAAGAAGCTGGGGACCTGTCTACGCTGTTTGATGTTGGAGGAATTGTGGGTAAGTATGTGGTATTTAAATTATTTCTAGGAATAAGATATATCTAAGGGTGATTCTTGAGATTGGTGGTACTATAAGGGTTTTTTCTGTGTTAGGTGGCATCCTGGCTGGATTGATATCTGACTACAGTGGAGGCAGAGCCACTACTTGCTGTGCCATGTTGATCATTGCTGCTCCAATGGTTAGTCGAACTGTTCTCTTTTTTCTTTCTGTCTTTCTTTCTTTGCTCAGACTTTGGGCAAAATGCAAACATCTGTTTCAACAAGATGTTGCAGATTGATTTCATCTATTAAGAGTATGTAAAAGCATTATTAAAACACACGCATGTTTATTTGCTAGCTTTATGGACCATAAAATTTACACTTGGGAGTTAATATCAGTTTTAATATGCAATGCTTATGTCCAGTGGCACTGTACATTCGCCTGGTCAAAACAAAAACAAAAAGAGCAGCTACAGAATCTGAAGTGTTGTCTGTAAATCTTGAAGCTTGCTCAGAGTTTTTACAGACATCTGTAATCTTGTGCACCCAAAACCCTCAAGCTCGAGTTTACCTGTGAACCTGTGTAAACGCATGGACGGGTTTCTCTTTCCTTTGAGATCTGCTGCTTATTCATGTTTGCTTTTCTTCTTCAAGCTGTTCCTGTACAATAAGATCGGGCAGAACGGCTTGCCAACCACCATTGGTGAGTATGGAGTACATGGCTTTTGTACTTGCATATAAATTAATAATTTGATACAATGCACTTATTGTGTACATACATGGTTTGCATTGTACTTATATTTAAAAAAATACCTGCATGTAATTACATCTGTAATTAATTTCTGTAGTTACATTTATAATTACACTGTTGACCCATCCCTTACAACTTAACCCACCCTTAAACCTACCCATAACCTAACCTTACCCGTATCCCACCTCAATAGCAGCAAAAATGATTTGCAATACAATATGAACACAATAAATACATAGTACTTATTTTTGATGTAAGTACATAGTAGTTAAGGCCACCTAATATAAAGTGTGACCAGTTTTTTATGTAAAATTTAAGTTTGCCTTTGAAACATAATAGTAATCATAATATTGTATAATGTCAAGTATAAGGGGATCAGATGATAATTATCAAATAAGGTGCCATATTGACAACAGATAAACAAAATAAATTAAAAAAAAATTTTTTTTTTTTTTTTGTCTGTATCTCCTCCTCTGCCCTTTTCGAACCTGCAGGCATGTTGCTGTGGTGTGGTGCTCTCGTGAATGGACCCTACGCCCTCATCACCACTGCTGTATCAGCTGACTTAGTAAGCACTGGGCACCTTTCCTCCATGTGCTCTTCACATGGATATTTGTAAAGTCTTAAAAAAAAGGTTCAAAACCGATACGTTGGGACCAGCCTACAAGTCCTGCCGTCAATAACTGATCAATAAACTATTTTGTAATGCAACAAGCACTTTGTGTTGTACATTTCATAATGTTTTTTTTTATCCTTTAGGGAACCCATGAGTGCCTGAGAGGGAACTCCAGAGCACTGTCCACTGTGACCGCCATTATTGACGGCACTGGATCTATAGGTATGCAGAGAATGTGGCTTTTTTTTTCTTCTTGAGCTTGATACTGACTTAATAAAGTCAAGCTTTGAATGCACTTTGTGTTATAATCCGGCAGTGAATATTACATTTGCAAATCGAGCAACATTTTTAAAAGGTTATTGACAGTCAATAAAAATGTAACATTCAGAAACCAGTGTTTGTTTTGAAAACGTCCCACTGTCCTGCAATGGCAGTCACATGTTGTGAAATGTGTTTAATGGGCTCTAGGTGCCGCTGTTGGGCCTCTGTTGGCTGGTCTGATCTCTCCCACCGGATGGAATAATGTTTTCTATATGCTCATTGCTGCTGATGTGCTGGCCTGTCTGGTGAGACTAAAAGCTGATGTGTATTATTATTTTTGTTATTGTTGATTATATTGTTATTTATAATATTATCCAATAAATAATAGGTAATTTTCTGTTCTCATGATGAACGTGTTTTCTGGCTGGTGTTTCACTGTCATCTCTTGTTCTTGTTTGTGTAGCTGTTGTCCAGGCTCGTGTATAAGGAGGTCAGAGGATGGTGTGGATACACTACAAGGCTGAGAGGGTAAATGTGTGTTTATGGTGAAATATGTAAGAAGCTTGTGAAAACATGCATCTAAATACACTATATACACTACCGGTCAAAAGTTTAGAATGATGAAAAATGTATTTATTTTTATGTATTTGAAAAATGACTCTTATTGCTCACCAAGGCTGTATTTATTTGATGCATAATACAGTAAAAACAGTAATATTGTGAAATATTATTACAATTTAAAATAACCATTTTCTATTTGAATAGATTTTAGAATGTAATATATTCCTGTGGCGGTAAAGCTGAATTTTCAGCATCATTACTTCAGTCTTCAGTGTCATATGATCTTTCAGAAATGATTCTAATATGCTGGTTTGACGCTCAAGAAACATTTGCTATTATTATCAATGTTGAAAACCACTTTTGATGCTTAATGTGTTTGTGAAAACAATGTTCCACTATCATTCAATAGTTTGTAATAATAAAAAAAAGAAAGTAAAGAAAACATAAATTAACACTTTTATTCAGCCAGGATGCAGTAAATTAAGGAATTTAAGTGACAAAGACATTTTGTAATGTTAATCTAACAACAGCACTCTATCTACTTGTTTTCTTTTTGTTTAATAAAAAACTAGACCCTCTAACAATTGCATTCTCTATTCAGTTTTTATTCTAACTACTTGTATTATTTTATTTTAAAAATTGACCCTCTAACACTAGTGTTCTCTATTCTTTTTCTATTTTATCTACTTGTTTTCTTTTTATTTATTATAAAAAAAAATAATAGTACTGTGTTAGACTAACCAAGGCTTGTCACGGCACTTACATATTGTTACATTTTGTTGGTTTTGATTGCAAGTCGTTTTGGATAAGTGTCTGCTAATAAATGACTAAATGTAAATGTAATGTTACAAAAGACTTCTAATACAAATTGTGACGTTATTGGCAGATGACTTTATTAAGGTTTATATTTGACCTTCTATTTTTAGCTAGTGGCTTTTAAATATCCTGAATGGTGCTGATTGCCATTACATGTACTTGATATTAGTGGCTGCCAAAAATGTAGAGCGTCATGACCTAAGAGACGCTGTACTTTAATTAATTGGGCCTTCCTGCCTTTTAATATGATTCAGTGGAGGCTATTTTTAGTGGTTGCAAGGCAATCACAATTACTCCAAGAGGCTGCGACCCGCCTCGGGATTTGTTAGTTTTCACTGTGTTCCCAAATGACTGGCAGAGATCTGTGTGTCGAGGTGGAAAATGATGTATGCACTTCAAGTGCAATATCATTACGTCTCTGACACCCTTGTAATTATCGTTCAGTTTTTGGCTTTTAACCATAAAAAAAGCTTGATTTGTGCTAAGCCATTTTTTTGTGCTTTTTTTATCATATTGAAATGCATGCATTACACTAATGGTCTCCGCTATCCACTTTAGACATTTTGTCAAATGAGCCGGCGGTAATTATTTGGTCTTGTTTGTATTTTTTTTTTACACTGCTAGAATCTGATGATTAAAAGGGAAGCGTTTAATTTTGCACCATGTGTTTGCAGTGGTTTCATCTGCTCTTTTCTTCCAGGTTCAAAGAGATCTGAGCCGCCCGTCGAACAAGAGAATATCACACCTGTGACGGAAAATGACCTGCAGCATAACGACAAAAAGGGACCATGGATTGAGGCAACACACCAAGCCTTTTTATGCCCAAGGGTTATTTTATATGAAAATTGTAACATAAGACTTTCATCCTTTTATACTGACAATGGAACAAAGCTCAGCTGCTGCAGTGAAGGAGGAGGAGAGTTACACACACCCTCGTCCACACGTGGCCTGAGTGGGACAAACACAACAGGATCACTAAGCGTCTTCATTTTAATACAGGATGTTTTTAGTGACTGCTCAATACAAATGTACCTTTTTTTCTAGAATTAAAATATGCCATCGGTGCTTTGTCCTTTTATGTCATTCGTACGTTTCCTGTTTGTTATTGGCCTGGCTAGCTGTGAATCTTATCAGCAGTAATGATTAAACAGAGCCTGAATATGTATTGTAATAGATACTGAGGTCATATTCATGTGCATACACACTTAATCACTCTCAACTTCATTAAAATACCAGGTGGCTCCAAGCATCCCAAGAGAACCTCTTGGCTTTATTCTCTGAGGCTGTGTATGTGTGGATGCACGTTACTGGTAGCTGGTTTTCTAGCTTTAGGGTATAGATACTATCAGCTCCTGTCAAAATGAGAAATCGTGTGAAAGGCAAACAGTCATATCTGCAGAATAATGCTCTGTGATAAATTTTTTCTGGACAGTTTAAGCCGTGTTATTAGTCATTACATTTTTTTTTAAATATTCAGTTATGATTAATAATGTTACTTTATTTATGTTAATTTATTGATTATAAAAAAGGTCATGTCCAGGTCATGTCATACTGTATGGGGCAAGTTGTTACAATACTACAAATTTCTAACAGTAAAACATGAGAAACATTGAAAAAAACAATTAATTAAACAGTAAAAATGTACAAGATAACATATGAAAGTATAACGCCATCGTTTTGTACAACAGAAATCATAATCAGTTTTGTAATTAATGGATTAATTAATAAATTGTAACTATACATTTTAACATTTTCAGTTTGCCCTAACCTGATATTTATGAAAATTATACACTTTGATTAAAATCTACACTACCATTTAAAAGTTTGCGTGCGGTCAGTGAGGGTTTTCTTTTTTTATTTTGAAAGAAATACTTAAAAAAAAAAAATTTTTTAGCAAGGACACATTAAATTAAACATGGCAATAAGGACACAATATTACATGTATTAACTGTATTTTATAAATAATTGTAGTTGTGTAAATTCATTAATTGGAGGTGGGACCATACCATGCAAAATTTTACGTAAAATATCTGCAAATTTAATCATATTTGCCCATAAAAACCCTTTTATCCAATGTTTTCAAAGCCTGCTTATAGAGTCTTTCTATTGGTTGTAAAGTAGTCCCACCTGTCTGTGTCCAACTGGTGAGACAGTAATTTGTGTGTGATCATAGCATTAATATATAACTTTGAAGCTTCAGTGGTTAAATTATTTCTAATATGTCTTAAATTTTTCAGATTAAATTTAATTCTATTCTCAACTTTTTTAACTTGTTTTTTGAATGTGAGTCAAGTATTACTGTATACCTAAATATTTATACTTATGTACTACTGATAACCTTCTACCTGCTACTGTAACATCTGGGTCCGGATCTCTATTTGCAGACTTTGAAAAAAAAACATACATACAGTTTTACTAACATTAAGATGTAAACATGAATTTTTTAACCACTTAGTAATATTAAGCATTTCTGCTGATAATTCTTCTGCAGCTTGCTTTTTACTTTTAGCATGCAAGTATATGTTGTTTCACAAACATCAGGCAAGTCAATAATATACAAACTGAATAACAAAGGACCTGATATTGAACCTTGAGGTACACCAACTGAATTAGTAACTAATTGTGAAATTTTATGGCCTACTCGAACACACTGTTGTCTGTCAGTTAAACATGATCTTATCCATTTAAATACTTTTGTTGAAAAATGATAATTTGATAACTTATTAATTATAACCACATGATTTACTGTCAAATGCTTAATGTGTTAAACAGCTCCCACCACGCCACCTTTATCCAATTTTGATTTAATATTTTCTAAAAGAAAACAATTCGTAGTTTGTGTTGAATGATACTTTCGAAAACCAAACTGCATCGGATGCAATGAGAACAGAGTACTGTTCAAATGTGATATTATCTGTTCAGAAATTCATTTTTCTGCAATTTTGGAGGCTGCTGGAAGAGTACTAATGGGTTTATAATTGCTTATTATTATTTAAGTGTAATTACTGCAGTACAGTATACACACACAAACACACATACTGTATATATATATATATATATATATATATATACAGAGCTGGGTAGATTACTTACAAATTGTAATCCGTTACTGATGCCAAATTACAGATTGTAGTTAGTAATGTAATCCATTGCATTACACATTTTAGGTAATATAATCAGACTACTTTTAGATTACTTTTAGATTACTTTTGATCTCTTTTATCACATTGATTTAAATAGGATAATCCTGTAACCATATTGACATAAAAATACAAAGAGTAAGAAAATATATTCCATTTGTTGTTATCCACAATATGAATTGCATTAAACAATATTACATGTTTGTGAAGGAACTGCAGGGGGTTTATGAGTTTAATGAAAAGCTAATACTTAATTAAATCCTAAAAATGTCAAATTAAAATAAATAATTTTAAAATCAATCAAAATAAAAACTTACTTAAAATAAATATTTTATTTGTTTACCTGCATGTCATGTGACCGTAACGAATGTCAGAGAACTGAACATGCAAATGTGATACTTAACTATTAAAATATTTATTTTTAAATATCAGGGGTACTTCAAGTAAATATATTAAGTGAAAGAGGATCAGATGACCAAAAAAAAAAAAAAGTTTATGAATTTGTGCATTTTAAAGTGTTTGAAAAACAAAAGCCTTCCAAAGACATAGAAATACATGGTTAAACAAGCTACAGAGTGATAATTCAAATTAATGTCTTCATCAATAGTTGATTCAATGCTGAAACACTTTTTAAGTCTGAAATTATTTTTGTAAATCCAGTTGTCAAATGACTGGTCTTTGTGTGAATGTCCATAAAACTGGAAGCCTGGAAACTGGAAAATTTAAAAGATGAAAAAGTGGAATTTGGGAGATATCAATAAATTATGAATAATGTATTGTTATTATGTAAATAACATGTAATCATGTAATCCATAAAAAAGTAGCTAGTCTGATTAGAGTACTTTAAAATGTAATTTAATCTGATTACAAGTACTTAACTTCGTAATCCGTATCCAGATTTTAAAAAATTTAATTTCTAATCATAATTGATGAAGTATAAGGAAAATTGTAAACAACACAGCAAGCATTCAAGTATTCTTTATTGAGAAAGTTTGGGTAGATAGATATTGCATGTGTCATGAAAACAAACAGTGCTGGATAGATACGTGTGTCGCCTCCAAGCAGTAGATGACATGGAGTACATAGTCAGCTCTCCGCTCGAACAGTTCCTTGGCAACGCTGGAGAGCAGGAGTGAGTGATAGCCTACTTAAAGGGCAGAGCTGTGACTCCTGGCGAAGCCGACCGCATCCATCAGCATCTTGGAGTGAGCGGCTGCACCAGATTTAATGGCACATGCTGAGGTATGGTTTTATTTATGCTCTGTCAATTATCATTCTACAAATGGGTGTTTTAGTGCCATAGATCCACTTTATATCCTATTAAATCAGCAGTTGAGAGTAACTAATTTTGTTCGTTTGTTTTGAAGTGTTATTTGCTCTTCCTGAGGAGGTAGCTATAGATTGTGTATCTGTTGGTCATCTGTTGGTATCAGAGGTCATCATGGGGTCGAGTTCTTCATCTTATGCCCCTAAAACTATTTATATGGATGTGGATGGAAAGGTGCAAAGGGTGAGTCTCAAGATTTCAAATATAAAAGCTGTATGCTTAAGATTCCATCAAAATGAGATGCATTTTAATTGTAAAAGTGCAATTGCTAATATATGATTAGATATGTCAGGGTTTTATCCAAACATTCAATGAACCTAAAAAAGTATTTGGGGGCACACATAAAAACGTTTGAATGTCATGGACTGATGGGGTTAGTAAGTAAATGATGCTAGAGCTTCTCTGAACTAACTTCAGCTTTTTGGAATCATTTCTACAGTAATTTTTAATAGACTGGGGTGGCAATCTCTAAAAGTTCACACAGGTGTCAGAGTAACCACAGGAGTAGTTCATCACATTATCTATGAATATGGTTTACCAAAGTTCGACAAACAGAATTGTCGCTGCACCATTTGTCTATTTTTATTGTTCTATCCTTCAAAAATTATGAAACTTTTTTGTGAAATTTCTGAATGAAAGTATGCTTGTCCTGGCTTTCATTAAGATAAATGCCATTGCTTGACATTTTTGTATCTAATGCTTTAAGGCTAACATCTCCAAATACTTTTTAGAGCAACCACAGACAATCTCCGCTGAAAAACAGACTGTAAGATGTGTTTTCTGTTTGTAAAGTTTAACGGTTTTGTGGTCGGTGAGATTTGTAATGTTTTTGAACATAAGAAGAATCGTATGCTCACCACAGCTGCATTTAATTGATACAATAAAAATATCATGAAATGTTATTATTTATTATTAGCTCAAGATAAAAATTTCAAAAGAACAGCATTTATTTGAAATATAAATATTTTGTCTTTTAAATGTCTTTACTGTCAGTTTGACCAATTTAATCCATCATTGATGAATTCTTATTTTATTCATTAGTATTGTAATTAGTATAATATTAATTTATTTTCTTTAAAAAAAATTGACCAGTAGTGTAACTACTTGTATAATAGGGACAACATTTTATTAATATTAATATTATTCTACTTAAAGGCTATAGTCATTTAATGTATTTTAAGACAGGCACCCTTTTTAGGATAACTACTTGTGTTAAAAAATATTGAGGGTCATTGTGGGTGACAGGTGCCTTTGACACAAACAAGCACCTGTGACACCTGCCAAGGGCAAATCCAGCCCTGCTCACTAGAGCCACAGTGTCATGATGGCATATTAATCATAATAATAATAATAATGCTCTTTGATTTTTCTTCATAGATATTTCTACTTCATCTCATTAAGAAAATTACTCACTTAGTTGTCATGTACTATGATCTCTCATGTTTTAGGTGATTTTCAGTCGACACTGTAGCCCATGTGATATTAAGGAACTTCTTTGTTCATCATCCAACATTGCCAGGTCAGTATCTTCTCATATATGAAGTGTTTAATGCAGATTATCATCTCAAAAGTGCATGTCTCAAATATGTTGTTCTCATGTTTCTCCAGAAACACGGCTATACTTCTGATTGACTCAGAAGGAGCAATGATATCTATTGACCCCACCATGCCTGCAAATACACCAAAGTAAGAACTCAACATAATAATAATAATACCATTTGTTGTTGTTGTTGTTATAATTATTATATCATTGTAATTTCATGAATAATTCAGAAGCATTCATTGTTTTACTTTCTTTCTTTCTTTGTTTCAAGCAACTTATATAAGGTTATGCCTCATTCAACAAACCAAGGGGGAGGTATGGAAAATAAATTACTCATTAAATTGTACATAATTAGCCCTATTGACCCCACCATGCCTGCAAATACACCAAAGTAAGAACTCAACATAATAATAATAATACCATTTGTTGTTGTTGTTGTTATAATTATTATATCATTGTAATTTCATGAATAATTCAGAAGCATTCATTGTTTTACTTTCTTTCTTTCTTTGTTTCAAGCAACTTATATAAGGTTATGCCTCATTCAACAAACCAAGGGGGAGGTATGGAAAAGAAATTACTCATTAAATTGTACATAATTAAAGGCAATGCCGATTACATGTGTTAGCTAAAACTAGATTAGAAATTAATGCAACTGACAGTAACATACCCTATAAACAACTTTTTATTCCCCTCAAAAGAGAAGGAAGACATGTTCCAGAACGTCCTGTCACAAGTGGCAGAGCA